TTTGATCTTTTATATGCTCGGTTTATGGTGTTTATGTTTCATAAATGTTTTATGTAAATTTGCACATTTATAGTTTGTTAACTTGTCACAAAATTTCATAGTTCGATGGGGAAATACAATTAGGAGAAATCTTTTTTTGTAGCTTTCTGATTTTGGTTTATTTTAATGACTTTGTAAAAACTTTTAGACAAACTTTGTTGAATTTTATTTGAATAATTTAATTTGTGAGCTTGACTATGAAATGATTAACTGGAAGTTTGGGGCTAATTTTGTTGGTATTTAAATATTTTATTGTTTTGTTGACTTAATTAAAAAATATTTGTGCAGTAAAATAAATTTAAAAATTATTATTGAGCTATAGTAAGCAGAAGTTGAGCTAGGTAACATCAGTTGGATATATTGAAGCTCTAAAGGGTGTCCAAACTGTGTGCCGCGGCACAGTAGTGTGCGACTTTGGTCATGGCTTATCCCTCAGGTGTGCTGTGGCTCAAAAACTTTGGACAACACTGCTCTAAAGGGTGAAGCCAGATTTTATTTCAAGGCATTTTAAATCTTTTGCTCAAATTTCAACTTGTTTGATGCCTTTTTTCCCTATCCACACCCTAATTGACCTAAAACCCAGCCATTTTTAAAGAAAAATTATCTCAAAAATTTCTCAAGCCTTAGTTTTTTTACAATTTCTGTTGATGTCAACTTCAAAATTCTCAATTCTACTTACTGTTGATTGTGTTCCTTTAACTACAAACACACTTTCATAGAAATATTCAACAATAACCGTCAATATTTACATTCTACATTCTTTGATCTCTTTTGTCTCAAACCTTATCATCTTCAATTAAAAAGCACACATACACACACACACACACACACGACCTTACTATACATTCTTGTTTATTTAAAATTTAATTCATTGTAAGCTGAACAAAAAAGTGTGAAAAGTTTTCATGGAGCTTGCTCTTTTAGATGTTCTGAGAAGAAAACATTTTACATTTTCCCAAAGGGAATGTACGTATGCAAGAGTAATGATGTTGATGTGGGGATGATGATAATGCTGATGATAAAGAATTTTTTATGAAGGAATGTGAGAGCAACACATATTTACATAATATGACTGAATGGAAATGAGAGAATGAATATGAAATATCTTAGTTGTAAAAGCAGTACGTTAGGCAAGTAATGTATGAAGCTTTGTTGCACAGGTCGTGATATGGTAATGCCATTTGATTTATCTTCAACTTCTTTATGCTTGCTAATTGTTAAAGAAGTCAGGATTTAATAGGAATCGAGCCCACACCATTAAATCAGGTGATTTGTGACTAATCAGCCAGAGATCACCGAGGTTCTTGCTGGACTTCAGCTTTCTGTCATATACATGCAGCTAGTTAACTGCGAGCCTCATGGTCAGGCATATCTGTTTTAAGCCAGAGTCATTGTTATTAGGCTGCTAAAATTTTTAATTTTCAGCTTCTCTTAATACCCAAAAAAATAATTTCATTCCGCATCAAAAAAAGGACTTCTAAGCTTAAACTAATGTAAATTTATTACGCACATCCGAAAAGTTTATTGTCTCATAATTTACTTCCTCCCGCAATGAATTAAAACCGCATCCAAAATTATTTTCTAAATTCCTCTTTTATTCTCAATTTCCACATCAACCTTTCAGCCTTTAATGAGGAGTAAAATGTCACCAAACTGAAGTAAAAATGGCATGTACGAGCAAATGGATATAAATGTGTATGATGAGAAATGAAAATGACATTCCCGTCATATAAATTCATTTACACATTTCTGTCTCATAGCTTGTTACCACTCGACATTGCTGCTTTGGTACTGAAATTTTACATGCAATTTTGATGTGTCAACATGGTCGTATCCTCTCACTTTAGATGCCGTTCTTCTTTCTTTTCGTTATGGATAATTACAGAAGCTCCAAACTCAAACTCGAATGAGTGGAATGAATTAATTAAAACAATAAATCAACGGGACGATATATGATACGTACGAGAGCAAGAAAATGAAGCACATATTGAGTTTATTGTTCCTTAAGCATTAGAAGTGAATTATAAATTTGTCACAGGCGACAGTCGACGATATGAAGAGACGACTTTAATGTTTATGTCGAGAATATATTACATGCCTAACGTAGCAAAAATAATATTTAAAGCCTGCAGAATGACATCTGGTTTTACAGAAGACAGAATGATAATTAAGCTTGGAAATAAGAGTTATTGGTTTGGTATTAATTAATTTAGAGATACTTGATGAAATTTTCTGGGATGTGAGCTTTTATGGAAGGGATTTTTAGCTGAAACAAGATTTTTCAATTAAAATTTTTCATAAATTTTTGTGTCACATGCTGCTTTTATTGACTGAATATTCAATCACTTGGAACTGAATAAATCCCTTAAAAAGTGACTGACAGAACAAACTTTACCTTCCCACATTTTCCTCTAAAACCAAGCCACAAAGTACCAAACCAATTCTCATTTGCATTCACAGCTTTTAAAGCTAACAAGCCTGAACTGAAAATGAATAAACTTTCAATTTAAATTTTTAATGAAAACATCTGTTGTGTAGTTTTCTGTATTGTCACGACAAATTTTTGTCTTCATTCATTGTTCGCGTCTACAAGAGATTTCCTAATTAAGAAGTTTTAAATCTGACGAGATGTCGGCAAAAAAAAACTTTTTAAAAATATTTTTTCTTCTTTTGTGTTAACTAGCAAAAGAGGAAGGCTTTTGTGACTTTGGAATTTTTTCGAATAAGCTAGGGTGGTGTTAAATAGACATAATGTTGGTGTTGGAGTGGAATATGAATTTTTAAAGTCGAGTCTAGATTAACTTAAGTGTCTTAAGTGTCTGCAGTGTTAAAAAAATTACAAAAGTCCTCGTGTTATTGATCGAGGGACTTCAGCGCATTTTTGACGAAGCGATCAGTATTTGATTATAATTAATAATTTGCTGCAATGAATTTCCATATAGAAAAAGTTTATCATTTAACGGTTTTTTAAAATTTGAAATTTTACAACGGCTAGAAAAAATTTGAAATTATAGAGGTAAATTTGAATTTATAGAGGTAAAACAAAATTTGAGCAGGTTACACTGAAAACAAAACAAAAACTCATTAATTATAGCATAAATACACTGCTTGAAGACTTTTAACTGTTCGATCGGACAATAAACAATAGTAACGGAGCTAATAAAACAAATCCGAGCTCTCTACGATGTCTGGTTGCAAAGTTTTTATGCTTGCCCGAACGAACGAACGAACGAACGAACGAACAAAGTGTATTATTGAGCTCCCTTTTCGAAAACAAGTTTTCAAAAATGCGCTAAAAATCTTTGATGCTGTGTTTTTGAATGCTGTGGGTTCGATTCCCACCAAAGACTATTGTTTCAATTGATAGATAGAGTATTGTCGACGTAATAGTATGATTTGACCTTAATAAGCATGTACGCGACATTAATAATACAAAATTAATTCAATTCATGCCTAATGATGCTAAATTACCCTAAAGCATCTCCTAAACTCCATAATTTCACCTCCAAACTCTCTGCTTTTATCCTAAACTCACATACAGTGATTTGTGTCAATAAATATGATATTTTAATATGGCAAATTGTAACCACCTGTTTAAAAATTATCCACAATTTACGGTGAAAAGTTTGTCTATTAAATAATGTGCCATCAGGCATTGCTAATAATTTTTCTAGTCGATTATAATAACAAATAATTGACAGTCTATGTCGAAAAATTGTGGCTAAAATTGAGCGTTTTAAAAATCCAATTTATTTTCTCGATTATATAGCACATAGTGCTCTATATTATTAAAATTTATGAACTCTGAAAAGTTCACACCATAAAGTTTTTGATGCTGATATCCGATCATGATTCCACATCATCGTTAATGTATTAAACTAATTTTTGCATTGAAATTTGATTAGCATAAAATGAGTAATTTATACAGGATGTAAAAATATAAGCTGTAAAATTGATACAGCACCAAAAGTTGAGTGATGGAGGGGAAATTAAATTTTACTCAATTACGATTCATGCGATATAGTTGATAATTTTGTTAATATTATGTTCAACATACAGACACAGATAATAAAAACGTAAGGAAATAATTTTCTATTGTTAACAAATTCATTTCATCCTCATTTTATTACTTCTTGTGTCGGAGATACCTCAAAAGGAATATTTTTTAGGGGAGAGATCATGAAATGCGGAAGTAAAATAGGTTCTGAAATTATATTTTGAGACGCTTTTGATCTGAAAGGTTATGTCAAACTGAGTTATCAACTGGCTGGCACTAGGATTTAGCACCCTAACCTAGAATTAGCTGAATATGTTCTATCGTCTGAGTAGAATAGATTGCCACAAGTATTCTATAAACCGGTCACACAAAGCGTTTGATGTGCTTTTAGAGTCCTATTAGAGATGTCAATACTATGTAGCTAATATGAAGTCACTAAAAGATCCCTAATACCAATAGAATAGCTAGCAAGTAAAAAAACCTGATTTACACACTCAACATTCAAAACCCAAACTCCATCCACAGACAATAAGACACAACAAGCACCAAGCATTCAACCTCAACCACCAAAAAATTCATCAGAACAAAATTCTTCGAAAAGAGTGAATTGGGATTGAAAAGGAATGAAAATGAAAAGATAGTAATCAGCATTTTGATCACGTAAAAGGATGGATGAAAACTTTTCTGTATCTGTAAAACTTCTCGCTCTGATAGCTGGCAGTCTTAAATATAAATTCAAGTACTAATGAATGAATTAAATTTTAATATCAGCATTGGGGGGCTTTAGACTTGTTCCTACATAATCCTATTCGCATAATTTAAAAATTGAGAATTCTTTTTCTTGTACGTGGGTCGAGGTTTGGATGTCCATTTCTCATTTCACATTCAAAATAATCATCATAAAAACAATAATAATAGTAGTAACGATAATAATAATCAGGTAGGTAAATTTTCCAATACTTACGGGAACAAGAAATCGTCTAACTTCAGCTAGAGCATAAGCAATTCTTGCATGAGCTTCAGCAGGTGGTGCAAATGTTTGTATCTCTACGTGCAGGTCCTCTGATAAATGTGAATATTTGTATTCTCCACTTAGTCTCAATTCTTCTTCCTGCCGAGATGGAAAATTGGAAAATTTCATTTAGTCATAAAATGTTTTAAGAAAATTGGATAGAGCCAACAGAAAATTATGCTGATGGATTCAGTTTAATCAAAGAAATTGCGGTAAGGTTAATTTCGGTTAATGTAAATTCTGATGAAGATATTGAAATGTTGAAGGAGCTTTAAATAAGCTTTATTGGAACTGAAATACAGTTTGATTGTAAAATTCTGACTGATTCTTCAGAAAACTGCTTCCAAGTCAAGTAAATTCCACTTCTTAAGCTCCAACAAATCACAAAACGAACTTCCAACATCCCATAATTAAATCCCAAATCACAACTTCATTTCGTGCAGCATCATTATTTAATTACTCACCTTTTTCCTATCCCTCATCGATCCACGTCCAAGAACTGACATTTTGCACATTGTGTCTTCCTGTAGTCTCTTAAGTGAGTTGCCTTTTGGTCCCAATAGCTTTCCAACGAAATTAAACTGAAATGATAAAATCAGAACAAGATTTTGCAACATGTAATTACAATGACAATCCTATGGACAATTGTAAGGATCATTGAACTCGACAATATGCATCATCATGATTGCAATCAATTTCGTATATCCTTTTAACCGTTACTTGCTAAACTCACCTTTGGATGGTCACGAACTGGCACGGCAACACGTACAGTTATCTTAATCGGTTTGTCACGTGTTATGTCTATCATTTTACTCTTTTCGTATGGTATGTGAGGCATTGAGGACGGTGAACCTAATGAAATAAATGAGATGGAGAAATAAAAACATGAATTTATGTCAGATTTATGTCTCTTTCTTGTCATCATAGCTAATCGATTGTAATGGATTGGAGGGTTTTGAGAGGAGGACAGCATGCTCGATTTCGATTTTGATTCTGTATTAATCAAGTTGATACATATGGGAAGTTTTTGAGGTTAAGTTTGAGTGCTATTGATTAATAAATGTGTAGTGTATCAGATAATATGACTAGGTTTATAATAAAAGCTACGAAATAGCTGTATAACTTGGTATAACTCATAAAAGAGTACAATGAGGCTCATGACTTCCTCCCTAATCATCTATAAGTTCAATATCAAATTCTCTTTTATTCATCAATTTTGATGTTTGTTATCCGATTGTGCTGATTACCCTTTGACCTCTTCCTTTATTTCCATTAAAACGATTTCATTCAACCCATAAATTTTATTCATACTGATTTAATTTCATATTGACTCAATTCTCCACAAATAAACATTCAGAATTCCCATCTTGATTAAAAATGGAAGTGAATTTTTCATTTTAATCAACAAAATGGCTTCATCAGTACATTCATGATTGCCAGCAAAAATAAAATATTTACATTGTGTTGAGAATGCAAGTAAAAATATTGAAAAATTGATAAAACTAATGAAGCAATTCTTTATTTTTTCCAGCACCACATCCCATCCATACATGAAATAAAAATAGAATAGGAAGTAATTTCGGTTGATAAGAAGGGTGAAGAAAAGAATCATTCATGTAACAAGAAAATGCCGTACTGAAGATGAAGCATCTCGTTTAGGCTTGAAGGAGAAAAGTTTCTTTCTTTTCAATCTGCCTGTCAATTGCGATTGATAAGAAAGAAGAACCAAAAAAATGTGAAGAATGAATTCAAGAATGTCATTGACTATATGAATCCGCAAGGGAGTATGATTCTGGATTTCTGCAGATGAAGGATTTTTCATTTCTATAAAAATTGCAAAGCTTTTGTTTTTTTATTTTTGAAGGGGGATTAGAATTGTATTGTAGATAGTGATGTACTTGAAATTGTCATGTGAATGATTATGAAGATGTCAGGAATGTAAATTGCTACAAAATTCTTTTGGTGATGCTATTCAGTTTGGCTACTTAAGCTAATTAAACAAAATACACGGTAAGTAGTAATCGGACGTGCCGAGTCTCGAACTCTGGATTGCTGCATCGTCTTAACTATTTTAAACTTCCAAATCACTTAACCACAACACCATCGAGGCACATCAGCTCATTTTGACTTGATTCACATAAGTTGTCCTTATGTGACAACTTCCAACATAACCAATAAATAGTAATATTAAGTTAAACAGCTCCCATCAACCATAAACAGCCATAAACTATCTAAAGTATCACAAACATAATCTTCAGACTTTATTACAAATTTCCACAGTAAATCTACTTCAATTCTCTTTCATCTCTTTGTGGGCTTCCACATTTCCTTTCAATTATTTCAGTGACATTGTCTACACTCTTACAATTGTAAGTTTGAAGTGGCATGCTTAACATTCAAGCATCTCTCTACAAAATTTAATTAGAACACTTATCAGCAATGCAGAAAGAAGTCTCATCAGACAAAAAGCTCATTCCATTTAATTGTAAAGAAATTAAAGTTAAGAAATATTGAGAATAAGTTTGTCTGGAGTGTTTGCTCCTTGAGTGACTTATAGTCTCAATTTTCATGAAAAAATAGCATTAGAACGTAAACATCACTAAATCAATATCAGACAATGATAGTAAAAAATTATGCGGAAGTAAATCAATATCTCATGAATGCCAATGACCTTCGGTGAAAGTTTCAGAGCATCTATAAAGATTTATATCGGTCGGTTCCTATAAAAAATGAGAAACCTTTCATCATCTTACAAATAAGCACAAGCCAGGCCTTACGAGAGGTTCTTTCTATTATATCTGATGATGTATGTGTAACTACATTACATTGCCTCAAGCGACTTTTCCATCCTTTCCCATCTACATCCTTTATTGCTGACGAGATATAGTTATGCATATAAGTAGAAACAAAAAAAAAACTTTTTTTCCCTTTTCCTCAATTGCTGTTCTTTTATTCTTTCATCGTTTTATCTACGTCGAAAATTCTTTTTTTTCCTCTACATGTCGTCATGCCATCAATGCCAATGCATATATTATTGTATAATAAGATAGGAACGAGAAAAAATTGTAACAGAATATTCAGTGAACATTGAAATATGTGCTTACAAACAACAAAGAAGTTGGGATGCTAGTGTGGGATTTGATGTAACTAGGACGCATTGGGAGATGAGGACTTGTAGGGACGTTGGGAAATTAAAATGTCAGTTCAATTCGGAAACCTTAAATAAGATTAGAATGGAATCTTAGAAAGGTAGACAAATCTGCAAGAGTGATAATAAGTGGCTTTTGTGGTTAAAATATTAAGCAACAGACCACAATTTCTTTTGATGTGAATCCATATGTTCGATTCCCACTAGATTCAGGTGTTAAAACAAAAAATTATCTCTCAGTCCATAAAAAAAAACAATGATCAAGCTTCAAAGGGGAAAACAACATCATGGGAAACAATTTGACTGAAAATTACCATCAATGCTTTGCCTCATCTCCAACTATCTCATTTAAATCCAATAAACCACAAGAATCTTAAACAAAATAAATCATGATGAAGTTCCTGTATATATCACAAACATGACATCAATTCCTTTATAAATCTCTTAAAACAGAGCTACCAAGCAACGACAAAATGCAGTAACAATTTGCATCATTTATCACAAATATTTTTTTAACCACAAATAAACAAGATGTTGAAGAAAAGGATGAAAGAAGAAATATGAGTTGCCGTAAAAGTGGCATCGTCTAAAACAACAATGGAATCGATTTGAATGGTTGAAAAGATACACAATGAAAGAAGAAGGCAAGGATGGAATGATATTGAGTGAGTATGTTGAGTTATCTACCGATTAAATCACATTTATTGGATTCTAGAATTTCTTTTGTGGTATCCATGCTGCACAACTTCCTTCCGACATCTTTATCATTTTTCCATTCATTCCGATTAGGTTGAGATATTTATGGATGTTCTAGCAAAGTAACTGCTGTATACCGTCATTATTCATACACAATGCATGCATACAGAATTTAAATAAAATTTAATCTCAGTCCCTTCTCTCTATACTGCTGCTTTATTATAGATTGAAGATCATATGAAATATAATAGGAGCTCTTAACATACCGTTTAAGCTTTATTCACTTTAATACCCTCATTCTTCACTCAATATAATTCAACTCTATACTTCTGCTCACTGCTGGATAACAAAAAGGAGAGATTTTGCACTCTAAAGGATTTATTCTTAAATGACGTCTATCTAGGAACGCATTTTCTAGTCTAAGAGATGTGATCTTAAAGGTTAGTGACATTTATTACAGTTTTTGGTGCCAATATAGTCATTCATCTCCAAACCTCAAAGCTAGACGTCACTTATTGACGACCATATCATTTATAATTGATTTTTCTGTTCCTTTCTCGTATTTACCTTCACACACACACAAATTGTTGCATACTTGCTGTGCTTTTGTTATTCAAATTCCAGTGTGGTTATGGAAAACATACACGAAACCGCATTTTACATTCCTACAATTTGTGAACTAGCTTGCACATTTCAATGCAATGCTGGAGTTGAAATTTCATTCAGTTTATTCAAATTTGTATTTTTGTATGTAAATTTTTGAAAAATCGCTTTGTTCTATTTGTTGAGTGACTTTTTGGTTCGTTGCAGATTTTAGTAAAATTGCAAATTCTCATTTCTTTCAGTATAAGCTTTGGGAAATGCATTCAAAAAAGGAATAATTGAAATGAGTTTGAATAAAGCAAATGCAACATGTTGTTTTGAAGTATGGTTCATAAAATAGCTCTCGAGTAATTACTTCAAAGTGAATTTTTGCTTCGATGAATTTTTGGATTTATGTAGATTGTGGACCCCCCCCCCCCCCCCTCTGACACAATCATCTTAATTAAGTCAAAAATGCAACAATTTGTCAAAATATTGACATAAAACTATTAATAAATGTTGAACAACTAATTTTGAAATTCCAATGATCTAACATTAATTCCCACAAAACACACAGTCACAGCAACGAGGATGTGATTCAAAATTAACCCACCATGAAGTGTACAAGAAAAATATACATAAATTTTATTTTATTCCCTCTCACATGCCTGATGATGTCATAAGTGTCACAATTAATAAAATGTTTTACATGTGCACTTCTTGTTGGCACTTCCAACTCGGTCGTTCGCCATAATGCACTCACCTATATAAAAATTGTACTTATGTGTATTGTCGTACGAAAAGAGCATAAAAAAGAAACATTTATGAGGAAAGTTTTACTCGTCTTTGATATGATTAATGATGACACAAACAGATGTAACAGTATCAGACGGTGATGCAATATGTTGTCACTATAACTGTTTCATACGATGCCATTTTTATTCTACATGAATGCACTCTCGAAGTGCCATTGTAAATGATGCATTAGATCCACTTTTTAATGTTTGTCTTACTCTATCCTTTTTTGAAGGAAATTAGAATCAGTTTGAGGATGTTTTGGAGGCGCACTTAGATGTGGCTTAAATAAGACCTAATTATTGATTTTGAAGTTTAACGGACTTTTAAAATTCAAATCTTCCGTAAATATTTTACTTTTAAAATTCAAATATTTTCTTAACGGTCGAGCATAAAACTATCAATTCAGCACATCCAAAACAAAGTTTCAAATCAAAAAAAGACTTCAAAAGCACCCATTATTTTCCTGCATAATCATACCAATTAAAACAACAATATAGATTGTCAAAGCAGACGGAAGTTTATAGTTTATGTCTCTTAATGGAACAGAAAATAAATCGATGGCAAAGTAGAAATGCTTCCTGCAACTTTCTGGTAATTTTACAAAAGCAATTAAAAGCAGTAAAATGAC